TATGGAATTCATATTTTTACTACTAATAGTATTAATAATAATAATAATAATATATAATAATATATATAATATAATATATATAATATATATAACATATATAATAATATTATAATAATAATAATACTAATAATATTTTTACTAGCTTACTACTACTTTTACATATTTTTATTATATATTATATATATATTATTATATACTATATATATATATATAATATTATATATTATAGTATTATATTATATATATAATATAAATTACATGTATATATATACAGTATATATTACATATACTGTATATATTATTATTATATATTATACATTATATTTACATATTTTATTATAATAAAAATCGCACAAAAGGCGATTCAAATTCCATCTCCGAAAGCCTTCCTTTTCAGCGCTTATTTGAAATGAAATCAATTATTTGATCTGAAAAAATTAATGTAATTGTTTCGAAAGGTTAGTAGCAAAGTAATCAGAATTTTATAAAAGCATTCAAGCAAAATAAAAATAAAGTAAGAACAAAGTAAAAACAACGTAGAAACTGTCCATATAAAAAGATGCACTTTTCACTTGCTGCAACAAATAGTATTTCTTGATTAAAACAATTCATAACGTTGTCATCGTTAAGTTGGACATTACGTATGTAACATTCAATATTATAAATTTCAACTGTCACGAATAGACTGCTACTAGATTGCTTTAAGCAGCGAAGATTGATTAGGGGACAAAAAATGTGACAGCTGTTTTCCCCGGAAATGATGAGAAAGTTATGAAAAACACGGTCATAGGTGAGTGTGTGACCGTGCTTATGATCTTATTTAATTGCTATTTTTCCTGCTCGTTCCCATAAATTACATCGCATAGAAACTCACGTCAATTATTATATACAAAAATTGTTGATCATCGGTGTTTCGAATAAAGTAGGTCTTCGTGGTAATTCTCGACCATTTACAATAAACGAAAATTAATCGTTCACAACAAATATCCTCGCAAGTAATATTTATGAAACAATGTAATTTTGTATACAATTATTATAATACAAAATAAATGATACAACTATAATACAAAATAATAGAAAATGTGATTAATATAATATTGTTATCAGAAAATTATTCTTCGCATTGGTGTTAACATTTCAAAGTAACGAATACACTGCATAAATGTGCAAGGGCTGCGCAATGTTCCTTTTTGTCTCACGAGATCTTTTCTCTAATTGTCAACGTGTTTCTGTATTTTATTATTTCCATATTCCACTCTTTTGATTATAGCAATCAGATAATTTAGATTTCGAGATCACATTCGCCGATGGAAACAATTAAAATGTAAAAGCGTTTTTTTTTGCAAAGGCGGCATGCCATAAAAAAATATCTTATATTTTTTATATAGATATTATATATAATATATAATAATAATATATATTATATCTAATCTCTTATATAGATATTATATATAATATCTATATAAGAGATTAGATATAATATATATTATTATTATATACTATATATAATATCTATATAAGAGATTAGATATAATATATATTATTATTATATACTATATATAATATCTATATAAGAGATTAGATATAATATATATTATTATTATATATTATATATAATATAGAGTATCTATATGAGATGTAAGAGATATATAGATATATATACAATATATATACAT